AGGAGAGGAGAGGAGAGGAGAGGAGAGGAGAGGAGAGGAGAGGAGAGGAGAGGAGAGGAGAGAAGAGAAGAGAAGAGAAGAGAAGAGAAGAGAAGAGAAGAGAAGAGAAGAGAAGAGAAGAGAAGAGAAGAGAAGTCATGCTGCCCACCAAGGACAGGAGATGGAATATAACATGCCCTTTAGAAGCATTATCCACTGCTCCCACTAATATCCCAAAGTTTATTTCTCTACAGTTGTCTAAAGAGCAAATAGAAGACCTGCTAGAGAATAAGTGTGAGCCTCTTTTGAAGAACGCAACCCTGGCAGAATATGAATTCACCGCTTCTATTAAATGTCGTATGGATCTTAATTTTGAAGCTATAAAATTAAGCTATAAAAACACCCAGGAAAGTCACTGGACCCGTTTCTTCTTAAATGGAGAAATAACCAGATTGTTGAGGTAATGAGAAATCAATGCTGAGCGGGTTTGGAGAGCTTCGTTTAATCGAAATTTTTCAGAGGTGAAGTGTACAAAAACAGAGATTATTGTGTGCCTACAACCATGAAATATGCTTAGTCATCAACCTTTCAGATGAAAAAGATATAGACAGATATTAGATGGATAGATATAGATATTAGATATAGATATATAGGCATGCATAAACATATATAGATTTATACATGCATATATAGATATGCATATACATTAGATATATAGAGATATAGTAGATATAGAGGTAGACATAGATAGTTGAAGATACAGAAATAGACAGAGAGAGATAAATAAATATAGATGATCCAGTAGGCTCTCCTTGTAAGGTTCCCAAAGCAAACATCCTGTGCTGCTTCAGTTTTTGTTACCTGGATCCAAACTAGTGTCACCTGGGAAGAGGGAACCTCGACTGAGGAATTCTCTCCATCAGATTGGCCATCAGATTTTCTTGACTGTTGATTGATGTGGGAGGTTGAAGCCCACTGTGGGTGGTACCACCCCTGGGCTGTGTAAGAAAGCAGACTGCAGGCCAGGTGGTGATGGTGCACACCTTTAATCCCAGTGCTTGGGAGGCAGAGGTAAGGGGATCTCTGAGTTCGAAGCCAGCCTGGTCTACAGAGTGAGTTCCAGGACAGCCAAGGATACACCGAGAACCCCTGTCTCAGAAAAGAAGAAGGAAGGAAGGAAGGAAGGAAGGAAAGCAGACTGAGCAAACCACGGGAACAAACCAGTAAGCAGTGCTCCTCCATGGTTCCTGTTTCTGCTCCTGCGTGAGTAAGTTACTGCTCTGAATTCCATCGACGATGGACTGTTACTGGGATGTGTAAGCCACATAAAACCTTTTCCTCCCCAGGTTGATTTTGGCCATGGCATTTACAACCGCAATCGAAAAGAAGCTAATACAGTCCTTTCCCTCCAGATGCCTCTCTATGCTCCCACAAGTAGCTGTCACAGGGACAAGGATGTGTGTTGGGGGGAGTACAGGTTTTGGTTTTACCATTCTTTTCAAGGAACAAGGGCTTTGGGGCAGGTACTGTCTCAGGTGCTAGAGAACCACATAATGCAGAGGCCCAAATCCCACAAGTGGGCATCCAATCATCTCCATTTCTCGACGGCAGAAATCACCCTGGAGGGCTGGGCACTCTAAAGGGGTAGAGAAGAAGGTTGGAGACAGAAAAGCAGACACAAAACCAATGGCTCAGCGTCCTGTTCCACACAGCTGTCACCAAGGATGAACTTCTGATCCTCCCAAATGCTGGGTTTGTAGACACACACCAACATGTGCCGTTTCATGCATTGCTGGCACCTAAATCCAGAGCTTCATGCATGCTAGGCTGCCAATCTACCAACATCCCAGCATCTAAAATGATCCTCTTTCTAGAGGTCAATACAGCCACATTCTTCCATCTCTACACCCAGCTATGCTGCATGGTCCATGAGTTTTCCTTGCCCTCCTCCTCCATCAAGTTTACATGTTGCCTGGCCAAATTCAATTTTTATGCTCCACAAACCAAGGCCCCTTTCTTCTGCTGCCTGTCCACTGAAGCTACTCTGAGCTCCCAGACTCTGCCCAAGGTTCCTGGCCATGTACCCAACCCCCTAACACAGGCCCTGCCTTCCCAATCTCTTTGAACTCTTCAGCCCTTTATCCTTAGCTCTACATGGAGAGATCAAGTTTCTTTATGTTCTCAATTAAGGAATAACAGCTAACACAGAATGAGTAACTATATTTAGCCTGGATTCAAAGAGCATTTGTGCTCACGCATTATTTATGTCCTATGCATTTCATATACATATTTTAACTCCCGAAGCTGGTGGTCTGACAGAACAGTTCTTTTTAATAAATGAAATGCTGATTCTCATACATATTTGAATGCATATTTGAAATTGCATGTGCCCTCCCGACAGCCAACCAGCCAGTGGCTAAAGTCTGAGTTCCACAGCGGTTGAGATGAATACAGTGCCAGCCTGAACTTCCTTAAAATTTGCATTATTTGTTTTTAAAGCATCCTATCTGGCCACGCACCGGGTAATGTCTGGTGGAGATGACAAGGGCAACAAAGTACGGGCAACATCCGTGTCTCGCACACAACATCCGTGTCTCGCACACCGTTTCAGAGTGTGAAGAATCGCAGCTCTCCCCACCTAGAACCAGGAAGGCCTGCTGTTCTAAACATCCTCGCTACAGCCAACGTGTGAAGACATTGAGTTGAAACACATTTGCAAGTAAGTTCTGTAGTCGGGGTGGGAGGGGGTGGGGCTGTGTCTGTGGCTCGTGGGGGCTTGTGCTGACCTGCAAGGACCTAGACAGGATAGAGGCAAGGAGCTGTGCCTCCAGGCCCCAGGATGCACACAGTGTCACAAGGCACCAGGAAGTTAGAGTCCCTTCTCTTCTGCTCTCCCCTGCCCCAGACAACTGCTGAAAAGAACACCTGTACATCTGGACTTTTTTGTTTGTCTGTTTATGTGAAGTTAGCTATGCTTTAGTTTTTTTAGGCAAGATGTCGTGGTGTAGCTCAGGCTGGTCTTGAACTAGTGCTGTAGCGGAGGTTGACCTTGAACTTCTGACCCTCCTGCTGCTACCTTCTGACCGCTCTGTGACCGGTGCATACTGCCACGCCTGGCTTATGCATGCCAAGCAAGTCACTCAGCCACTGAGCTAAAACAGTCAGGTCAGAGGTACCCTGGATTTCTAAATGCTGCACTTCCCTCCAGAGTGAGAACAGAAACCACAGAACTTGCCGGGCACCTCGATGTTCAGCAGGCGCTGAGAGGCTTACGAGGAACCCAAATTTATGGCCATCTTTCACACAGACAGACAGAAATCGCACCAATGAGGCCAGTGTAGCGGAAAGGGCTCTCTTTACCTGAGGGGTTGTAAACAGCAGTCCTGTGACTCCGTGCTCTACCACAGCCGAGTTCCCAGGGATGTTCCTAGCCAGCACGGGAACCTCCAAATCCATCGCCTGGGAAGGTGGGAGGACAGAAGATGGGGTTGTCACTGAAGAGTCAGACAAGGGGGCTGAAAGATGGCTAAGGTGGTAAAGTGTTTGCCCTGCAAGCATTAGGACCCCAGTTCAATCCCCGAGGAGTCGTGTTAAACACATAACCAGGCACGGTAGTGCACGTCTATAATCTCAATCCCGGGTGTGGAGCTGGGGGCCTGCAAGACAGGGGGATCCCTGGAGCTTACTGGCTAGCTAGTCCAGCCTAATTGTTAGACCCCAGGTTATGATAGATTCTAGCTCAGAAAAATTAAGGTGGATGCGATTGAAGAGATGGTTCAGGGGTTAAGGGGGCTTGCTGCTTTTGCAGAAGATTGGAGTTCCGTTTCCAGCACCCAAGCTGGACTCTAGATCTGGGGATACAACACCCTCTTCAGATCACCATGGCCACTCCCACACATGTACACATATCCCCACATAAACACACGTGAGGGGCTGGAGAGATGGCTCAGAGGTTAAGACCACTGACTATTCTTCTGAAGGTCCTGAGTTCAATTCCCAGCAACCACATGGTGGCTCACAAACATCTGTAATGAGATCTGATACCCTCTTCTGCCCAACATGTGTACATGCAGGCAGAATATTGTATACATAGTAAATAATAAAGAAAAAAATTTAAAAAACACACTAGTATACATAACTAAAACTAAAAATAAATCTTTTTTTAAAAAAATGGCAAATTCTAAGCACAGACAAGCTCCAAGAATTTGAATGCACAGTAGCAGTGCAGCTGGCAAAGCCCTGTGCTAGACAGTGTTTGGAATGCTCCCATCCAGAGCAAATCCACAGAGTGAGCAGGGAAAGACAGAGGAGGGGGGTGAGCTTGGCGCTTGGGATAGACACACAAATGTCAGAACACAAGACCCACAGCCTCCCTCCAGAAACAGGCTCACCTGACCTTCTTAAACCAGCCCAACCTCCTCTTATGGGGTGGACGGAACCCCCTGCATGGCTCTCTAAAACCCCTGCAGCCCCCCACCCTTATCAGAGCTACCTGGGATTTATAGAAACAGTCTTTATGTTTCATGGCTAAGAAGTCACGAGAAACACCCAGACTTTGGGTCGCACAGCTCACCTGCATGTGTCTAGGGGAGTGGGGGGAAGCTTTCTCGTCAATTCTGGGTCACACCTGAGGTTAAACACAGCCCTCTCTGTATGTTCTCGAAGAGGGGTTTGCTTTGCTTGGATTCTGGTGACATGCGTGACCATCCTGAGTGATCACTGGTAGTGCGGGGAAATGATCTGAAGACATAGGTCACACAGACACACAGAACCAAGCAGAGGGTGTTTCTGGTGGGTGTTGGCCAGCAGCTGGTGATGTGGTTCGTCTACACCAAAGACTATACAGCCCTTTGCAAAAGTCCTCATCTCCTGCAGCGTCCACACCCCAAACAAATGCCCTCAGCACATCTTTCCCGTTCTGACGCTGGAAAATAGCTTTAGATTTTCAAAAGAATAAGTGATGGTACTGCCCCATGTACCACATAAAACTCTCTCTCTCTCTCCTTCCCTCTCTCCCCCTCTCCGTCCCGTCCTCCCTCCCTCTCTCCGTCCCGTCCTCCCTCCCTCTCTCCTCTCACACACTCTGACACAAAATGGCACAAGCGTCTTGAAACGCTCTTCCAGGGTCCTTCAACGTTCTCCAATCACCAGAGCTGGCACTACCCGCCAAGGTCAAGCATTCTCCTCCTTGCTCTCAGCTTTTGAGCACAGCCCTCCTTTCACCCAGGGGACAAAACCTGACCCAGAAGGTATGGTGTGCGTCTGTGTGCGACTGTATCTGTGGTAACTCTATGTTGGTGCTCTAAACAGGAACACCTGGAAGTGAAGACCATCTTTCAGATCCTTCATGTGTGGAGGGGTGTGTATGGATGTGTAGAAGACAGGGGAAAACGTGAAGTGGCCTTCCTCGGGAACTATATGCCTTGTTGTTTTGAGACAGCATCTCTCACTGGCCTGGAGCTCACAGATTCTATTAGGCTGACTGTCCAGTGAGCCCGGGGATCTGCCTGTCTTCACGCTCCCCCGTCCCTAATCCTGGGATAACATTTACAAGCAACCATGCTGGCTTTTCCTGTATGTCCCGGGGATTGACCTTAGTGGGTCGCACCAGCTTTGGTGATTGGAGGATCTTGAATGATCCTGTAAGAGCGTTTCAAAACATTTGTGCCATATTGGTGTCAGAGTGTGTGAGAGAGGAAGAGGGAAGGAAGGAGGGAGAGAGGGACAGAGAGAGCAAATACTTTACTGACTGAACCATCTCCCCATCCCCTTCCTTCTAGGTAAGTCTATGTGGGACTCAAATTCACAATCTGCTTAAATGGGAAATGCCTGGCAGGTTTTTAGCAATAACCATCCAGTCGCTGTGCATTCGGCCAAGATTTGGTTTTTTGAGTTTTCAGTGAGAGGCCTGCTTTTAGCCAAGGGGCATTTGTACTTGTCAGCATAGGAAAGCAGATTCAGAAAGGTCAAAAGGTCACCTCCCTGACCAGTTGATGGGTGTGTGCCCTGTGATTAACTGCCCTGGCCATCTAAAGTGATTCTGACGAGAAAGACACGCTTATCCCTCCCCCTAAAATCAACTTCTTTGAGAACCCTACGCCCAAATGTTATTTTGACTTCTCAAAGGAACGCCGGCCGCATCAACATTTCCAGGACATCAGGATTGCTAACAGCTGCCTTTTCTGTGAGTTAAGCGGAGGCTGAGAGCAATTCCTCTGCAGGAAAAGCTGGTATGCAGTTTAGAAAACCACTCAGCAGACTCCAGGCTCACGGCCTCCTCTTAAGAAATAGGAAGGGGGAAAATGTGCATTTACATACAGAAGAGCAACTGGTACCTGCTCTCCACTGGTTTCAAAGGTAGTTGCTGAGGGGACAGACTGCCGAGGCTGACACTTATCACAGGGCACAGGGAGAGCTGGCTTCTTGACCAGACACAAAGATGACACAAAGCCATGTCACATACTTTCAGAGTAGTGGATGCAAATTCACACCCACCTTGGGTGGCTTACAGCCACTTGCAATTCCAGCACCAGGGTATCTGGATGCCCCCTTCTGGTCTTCTCCAGTCACTGCACTCACTTGCCTACGCGCCCACACAGACACATGTACACACACATAACTCGAAATTCTTAAGTAAATCTTTTTCAAAAAAAAGCAGAGAAGAGAAAGAAGAGTAATCCAGTACCCCATCCTCAGCATTTGAGCTGCACCTACCTCCAGGATGGCGGCTGACATGCCCTCGGAGACTGAGCTGTTGACCAGCGCGAAGCAGCTCTTCACCACCGCATGCAGGTCTTCCTGGCACATCTCCCGGATCAGCCGCACCCCTGCAGCCCTGAAAGAACAGAGCAGGGATGGCATGGTTGTTTCAGCCTGGCTCACTGTCCCGCTCAAATTTTATGTGAACAACTGAGACTCAACTTGGACAGCCAGTGAAGCTGGGTCCCTTGTTCCTAGCAGAAAAAAAAATGCAATTTAAAAAGATACATTGATCAGTTATCTCCAAAGAGTCTATAGACATCAACCGATCACAAGTCCTTAAATTCTTCCAAATCTTTGTTAAGATTTTTTTTTCAAGACAAGGTTTTTCTGTAGCTTTGGAATCTGTCCTGGCACTTGTTCTGTAGAACAGGCTGGCCTTGAACTCACAGAGATCCACCTGCCTCTGCCTCCTGAGTGCTGGGATTAAAGACAAGTGCTACCACAGCCCGACTGATTGATTGATTGATTGATTTGTTTTTTAAGACAGGGTTTCTCTGTAGCTTTGGGGCCTGTCCTGGAACTCGCTCTTATAGATCAGGCTGGTCTCAAACTCATAGAGATTCGCCTGCTTCTGTCTCCCAGGTGCTGGGATTAAAGGCGTGCGCCACCAGAGCCCGACTGATTTATAAACATCAGTGTTTGCCCGCCATTATGCCTGTGAACCATGTGACTGCAGTGCTCACAGAGGCCAGAAGAGGGCATCAGATCCTCTGGAACTGGAATTATAGGTGATTGTGAGTCACACTATGGATGCTGGGAACTGAACCTGGGGCCTCTACACAAGGAGCCAGGGCTCTGAACCAACTGAGCCTTCATCTGTCCCTAAATATTTGTTATTTTAAATTTTTTTCTTTCTTTTACTGCCAGTGTCATCAGTATCAAGTGGTCTTCAGGCATGGAGGCACATACGTAGAACCCCACCATGTAGGAGGCTTCTGATTCCAGTCCAGCCTGGGCTATGCAGTGAGACAAAATGGTTTGCTCTGGCCTTTCCGCCGATGACTAGGGAGGTAGGGAATCTTACACTTTGAGTGCATCCATTTATTAGCCTGTACCTTGAGGCCCAAAGCACGACCTTGAGGGATCATAGGGAACATTAAAGGGTGCAGTACTGGCAACCTGCTTAGAGCAGAGTCTGCCATGGGCAAGGTGGGACTCGTGAATCTGCCATTTACGATCCCTAGTGTACAAGACGCCACCTGCCGGCCATGCCTACCTCCTCACCCGGTCTTTCACTTCCCTTGTAAATGCTGGATCCACCTGGAAAAAGAGAGGGACAAGAAACACTTAAAACCTCTGACCCTCAGGCTGGCACATGGCTCAGCAGATCAAGGCCCTTGCTGTAAAAGCCTGAGGACCTGGATCCAGAAACTCACACGGTTGAAGGAGATAACTGACTCCCCAAAATTGTCCTCTCACTTCCACATATGCACCATGGCATGTACACACACACACACACACACACACACACGCACGCACACCCAGGATTTTTACATCCTGACCCTATAGGTGGACACCAGGAGATGGAGCAGCTAACTAGCATGCATAAAGCCCCGGGTTCGATCAATCCCCAACACTGTGTAAAACAGGTGTGATGATGAAAACCCCTACTCTTCACACTTGGAAAGAGGCAGACGGATCAGGAGTTCATCTTCCGCTACATGGCAAATTCCAGGCCAGCCTTGGATATTTAAAAGACCCTGCCCAGGGCTGGGGTGAGCCTGACCTAAATCCGAGTCTACAGAGTATAACTTGTAACAGGCTCAAAGCCCACCCAGTAGTTCAGAAAGGATGAATATAGGAAAAAAAGCTGAGGAACAGTCCAAGTCTAGCAGTTACACAATGAGGACAAGAACAGGAAGGAGCAGGGAGCGCCTGGACTGTGTGTGCCAACTTCTGTAAGGGTTGAGTGCAGGGAAACCTCAGGATGTTAAAGGACAGAGGAGCATTCCTACAGACAGGACAATTTAAGTGTCCAATCCTTCAGTGGAAGGCTTGCTTCCTTAAATGATGCAGCTGGAATCTGTCATAAAAGCAATCAAGAGGATGCAAGGGAAACCTTAGTAAGCCTCCGACAAAGTAGTTCATGGAATCAAAGTTTGTTTTTACTGAGGAGCCTTCTCAGAAATGCAGCTTGCAAATCAAGGACGTGCCCCCTCCGCCAATGAATAACGAAAATGTGTTTGCCCACACGAGTATAATTTCAGACACAAAGAGAAAGGGCTAAATTAGGTAGCAACGTAAATGAATTCAGAAAGCAGGAGCTGGCGCAGGCGTGGCGGTGCACACCTGTGTTACAGCCCTCAGGGGTGGAGGCAGGAGAACAGTTCAAGGTCAGACTTGGCTCTGGAGTTCAAGGTCAGTTTGCTTCCACTAGGCTGTAGAGTTGGTCGTCCAGCTTATTGATGCTCTGATGTTTGCCACAAACCCCCCACTGAGACATCTGACAAACTACATCAGGCAGACTGGCCCCTCAGTGTCTCCTGCCTGACTGCTAAAACGCTTTTGCAACAATAGAAAAAGCTTTCTTTGGCACAAAATTCTAGAGTCAGCAAGATAAAGATGGCTCAGTGGGTCAAGACGCTTGCCATCAAACCAGATCTGAATTGGATCTCCAGGACTCACGTGCACCGTGGCACATCCGCCTCCTCCAAAATAAACATGTGAAGAAATGTATTTTTTTAAAAAAATTAGAGGCCAAGGCAGGAAGATTTCTGACCAGCAAGTGGCACTGTTCCTGTAGCAGAAGATACAATGGAGGGGTAAGTGTGCTCCTGACCCGCCACACAAGCCCGTAGAAGACCCAGCGGAGTGAAGAGCCATTGGAGAGCATCTGAAGAAAGAGATGGGCAGGCGCCAAGACAAGAATTCCTCCAACAATCTGAAAAACAACATGAAAACACCAGATCCCAGCGATCTTACGACAGAAGGACTTGAACACCCTATTCCGGAAGAAGTGGAAAACAGTGTCATTATGAAAGCAATAGAGTCTCTTAAACAGGGTATGAATAACTCAAAGAAATAGAAGAGAAATATAACAAAAAGATTGAAGAAATGAGTAAAGAAATGGAAGAGAAATATAACACAAAGTTTGAAGAAATGAGTAAATTCGTAAACGATACCCTGGGAAACCAAGAAAAAACAATCAAACAGGTAATGGAATCAGTTCAAGAATTGAAAACTGAAATGAAGGCAATGAAGAAAACACAAACTGAGGGCAGGCTGGATATGGAAAATCTAGGTAAACAAACAGAGACTTCAGGAACAAGCATAACCAAGAGAATACAAGAGATAGAAGAACGAATCTCAGATTATGAAGACACCATAGAGAAAATAAACGCTCTGACCAAAGAAAACAGCAAATCCAACAAATTCTCATCACAAAACATTCAGGAAATCTGGAACATAATAAAAAAAAAACCAAATCTAAGAATAATAGGGGTAGAAGAAGGAGAAGAATTGCAGATCAAAGGTCCAGAAAATATATTCAACAAAATTGTAGAAGAAAACTTTCCCAACCTAAAGAACGATATTCCTATGAAGGTTCAAGAAGTATACAGAACACCGAATAGACTGGATCAGAAAAAAACATCCCCTTGCCATATAATAATCAAAACACAAAGCATTCAGATTAAAGAAAGGATATTAAGAGCTGCAAAGGAAAAAGATCAAGTAACTTATAAAGGTAAACCTATCAGATTTACACCAGACTTCTCTATGGAAACCATGAAAGCCAGAAGGTCCTGGATAGAGGTACTGTAGAAACTAAGAGACCATGGATGCAAGCCCAGACTACTTTACCCAGCCAAGCTATCGTTCACTATCAATGGAGAAAACAAAATATTCCAGGATAAAAACAAATTTAAACAATATGTAGCTACAAATCCAGCCTTACAGAAAGTATTAGAAGGCAAATCACAACCCAAGGAATCCAACATTCCTAACACCGCCTACAATAACTCAGGCATCTAGCGACCCTTCACAAGCAGAACTCAAAGAAGGAAAAAACATACACTCCACTACCCCCCCCACCCAAAAAATAACCGGAGTCAACAACCACTGGTCAATAATATCACTTAATATCAATGGACTCAATTCACCTATAAAAAGGCACAGACTTAGAGATTGGATACGAAAACAGGATCCAACATTCTGCTGTTTACAAGAAACACACCTCAACCACAAAGACAGACACCTACTCAGAGTAAAGGGTTGGGAAAAGGTTTTCCAAGGAAATGGACCTAAGAAACAAGTGGGCGTGGCCATTCTAATATCTAACAAAATCGACTTCAAACTAAAATCAACCAGAAGAGATGGAGATGGACATTTCATACTCATAACAGGAACAATTCATCAGGAAGAAGTCTCAATCCTGAATATCTATGCCCCTAATATAAAGGCACCCACATATGTAAAAGAAACTCTTCTAGAACTCAAGGCAGTCATCAAACCACACACACTAATAGTAGGAGAGACTTCAACACACCTCTTTCACCAATGGACAGGTCAATCAGACAGAAACCTAACAAAGAAATAAGAGAATTATTCTAGGTATTGAAGCAAATGGACTTAACAGACATCTATAGAACACTCCACCCAAATAGGAAAGAATATACCTTCTTCTCTGTAGCTCATGGAACCTTCTCGAAAATTGACCACATACTTGGTAACAAAGCAAACTTCCACAGATACAAAAAAATATTAGTAACCACCTGTGTCTTGTCAGATCACCATGGATTAAAGTTAGTATTCAACAACAATGCTACCCCCAGGAAGCCAACAAACTCATGGAAACTGAACAGTCAACTACTGAATCACCCCTGGGTCAAGGAAGAAATAAAGAAAGAAATTAAACTCTTCCTTGAATTTAATGAAAATAAAGACACAACATACTCAAACCTATGGGACACTATGAAAGCAGTGCTAAGAGGAAAGTTCATAGCACTAAGTGCCTAATTAAAGAAAACGGAGAAAGCACACATTGGAGACTTAACAGCACACTTGAAAGCGCTAGAAAAAAAAAGAAGCTGATTCACCCAGGAGGAGTAGAAGACTGGAAATAATCAAGCTGAGGGCTGAAATCAACAAAACAGAAACACAGAAAACAATCCAAAGAATCAATGAAACAAAAAGCTGGTTCTTGGAGAAAATTAACAAGATCAACAAACCCCTATCCAAACTAATCAAACGGCAGAGAGAGAACATGCAAATTAATAAGATCAGAAATGAAAAGGGGGACATAACCACAGACACAGAGGAAATTCGGAGAATCATTAGATCTTACTACGAAAGTTTATATGCCACAAAGTTGGAAAATGTAAAAGAAATGAACATTTTTTTTAGATAAGTACCATATACCAAAGTTGAACCAAGAACAGGTGAACAATCTAAATAGACCTGTTAGTCGCGAAGAATTAGAAGCTGTTATCAAAAATCTCCCTACCAAAAAAAAGCCCAGGACCAGATGGTTCCAGGAACTTCCAGGAAGAGCTAATACCTATACTCCTTAATGTATTCCACAATATAGAAACAGAAGAGTCATTGCCAAACTCCTTTTATGGAGCTACAGTTACTCTGATACCAAAACCACACAAAGACACAACCAAGAAAGAGAATTACAGGCCAATCTCACTCATGAACATCGACGCGAAAATTCTCAATAAAATACTGACAAACTGAATCCAAGAACACATTAGAAAAATTATCCATTATGATCAAGCAGGCTTCATCCCAGAGATGCAGGGCTGGTTCAACATACGCAAATCTATCAATGTAATCCATCATATAAATAAACTGAAAGAAAAAAACCATATGATCATTTCATTGGATGCTTAAAAAGCATTTGACAAAATTCAACACCCATTTATGATAAAGGTGTTGGAGAGACTGGGAATACAAGGATCATACCTAAATATAATAAAAGCAATATACAGCAAGCCAACAGCTAACATCAAATTGAATGGAGAGAAACTCAAAGCCTTTCCACTAAAATCAGGAACACGACAAGGCTGTCCACTCTCTCCATACCTCTTCAATATAGTGCTTGAAGTTCTAGCAATAGCAATAAGACAACATAAGGAGATCAAGGGGATTCGAATTGGAAAGGATGAAGTTAAACTTTCATTATTTGCAGACGATATGATAGTGTACATAAGCAACCCCAAAAACTCTACCAAAGAACTCCTACAGCTGATAAACACCTTTAGTAATGTGGCAGGATATAAGATCAACTCCAAAAAATCAGTGGCCCTCCTATACAC